AAAAAGAAAGCACAGCAACCCTCGTAACCCTCGAATACGTTTTGAATTATTAACTAGGTTGGTACTTCATGTAAGTCCCATGAAATGGCACTATTATTCGATTGTCAATTATTGATTATTAATTATAACGTCCTGAAACCTGAAACCCTATCCCAAACCCTAACCCAAACCCCAAACCCCAACCCTAACTCAAACCTACCCTCAGACTTTATTACAGAATAGTGCCATTTCATGTAATCTTACAGGAAATATTAATGATTAACAGTGTTAATCTGTTGCATTATTTGAAGATATCGACGAGTGCTTGAGTAGCCCTTGTCGTAACAATGGTACGTGTATTGATAAAGTCAATAACTATTCCTGCACATGCACAGAAGGTTTCCAGGGACAAAACTGCCAATTCGGTAAGTATAACTTAACATTTTGCGAAATGGAATGTCCCATGCCATAAAATAATTCATTTTTTACGCATTGTACTCACTAACTGAGTTCTTATTAATCGAGAACCTACAGATAATATTCTAGCTATCAGCATGCGCCAGCGATTTTTCAGCGGTCAATAGTTATCTGAGACAGTTCAGTTTGCAAAAACGAGCCTGCATACGTCAGCGGATAGCGGTTATCTGTATTACTTCATTCTTATTGGACAAGAGGAGAACAATTAAATCCCGAATTGTACTCTGTAGAGTCCCAATTATATCCCTCAATTTTGTTTAGAGTATTATAAACAAAAATTCGCACAATGTTCTCGTACAAATCCAAATTTATGGATACTCGTGATGTTTTGAAAATTCTCAAATTGGACTCGCCTAAAATGCTCGTCCAATTTGGAAAAAAATGAAAACATCACTCGTACCTATAAGTTCCGAATGGTATGCGAAATCATGCGATTTCCTATATGCATTATTTTGAAACTGTCTTTTAAAATAAAGTTTATTATAAAGTTTCTATCTTTGTATTATCAGTCACTTTATTTGAAAAACGTAATATAAAACAATTATTGGATGAGGTTTTGATGATGTCCGGAATTATCAATGTCTCGGCAAATGCTATTGACCTCAGCCATAACACTTGCCTCCCAATTGATAAATCCGGATATCATCAAAACCTCATCCAAAAAATATTTATTGTTGTCTAGCTACGGATTCTGCCGATACAACGAACACTCTCATTGCTTGATAGAGGACAACATAAAACTAACAAAATTTTAATATATCCCGACCGGGAAATAAGTACTTATTTCTCAGTCGGGTTACAAGTTGCAYGTGAAAAGAGCTGGCGCCGTGATATTTTGCACGAATCGCAAACAAAAACGTTTGCTGGCATATTCAGGCCGAATGAAGCCTAAAGAAAGATTTTTCCAGTCCTTCTACAGAAGAAATACAGATATTCATTGAGAAAAAGAATTCGGAAAAACGGAAAAAGGCGATTAAAAATGCTGTTGCTACTWTCCTTACTTTTTGGGAGTGAAATACAAGACTGTACATAGTTGTATTTGTAAAATCGGCCTCTCTCTCTCCCCACTCTCGGTAGAAAATGTTTATGAGAGCATTACCAATTCAAAATATTGACTTGATGCTTTGATATAATAAACCTATTAAYAGATAACGAGTTGACATGTTTTTTGATTGTTTCTGTTTTCTCCCATAACAGAGCGTTCGTTTTGATTCAGCCTGATTTTTGCTTGATTTGTTTCAGATGCGTGTGATGTTATGCCGTGTAAAAATGGAGCTACTTGCAGTCTCTCAGGAAATAGCTTCTACTGCACATGCGACGCTGGATTCAAAGGAATAACTTGTGATGTGGTCGACAGTAAGTTACAATTTACCCTATATTTTATTGTCTTATTGAATAGGTATACAAATTTTAGGCAACGTATGGTTATAAAATAAATGGAACAAAAAGATAAATATCATTGCTCAGGTGATCATAAAAAATGGCGCGCCCTACTGCAGATTATCTCTCAATAATCACCTACATGGCACAGTTGTACAAAGGGTGAATAGCGCTATCCAACTGACAAATCCATATCCATTGAATATGTCGTGGCTGTTGTCCAATAGATTTATCCACCGGATAAGATTTATCCGTCGGATAGCGCTATCCACCCTTCATACAACCGGGCCCAGGTGAATATAGGATTGAGCGCGCGCCGTTTGTTAATGCATTCGCTTCAATCTCCTACCCAGAGCCTGCATTTCTTCGGGCCTAAGGCAAAGAACAACGGCTCTTTACCAGCTTTTGATATCCCCGGCCTCAAAACATATCCTGTTATTTAATTTTTTCTAAAATAGTACTAAAATTAGCTTTTTTTTGTTTTTTCTTTTATTCTTTAAGGCGTCGAATGTGCTACCTACACCAACATAACGAACTCGACTCGTAACGTTAAGTACGGAAAGGTGAATAGGCAATGTGACAGMACCTCTTTCGTAGGTTGGTATCGATTGACAGGTGGCGCCGGCGTTGCTATGCCAACAAAATGTGTACCCGAATACCACTGTAACACTGACGCTACTGGCTGGCTGAAAGATCCACATCCTACCATACAAGAAGGAATTGTAACAAGAAGAGTATGTTTTAGTTTTTCCGGCAACTGCTGTAGATGGAATTTTGATATTCGTGTGCGAAACTGTGCAGCCTATTTTATTTACGAGTTTGTAATGCTTAAGATTTGTTATCTTCGTTACTGCGGCCAAAGCTAAAAGGCTTGTTTAAGGAGGCTGGAAAGTGCTTTTTGCCTTCACATACAATCACAATTATGAACTAAAAAAATTAATACGGCTATAATATGACAGCAAGTAAACCTGGAAAGCCAAAGAACATAAACCAAAGATCACAATAAACATGTAAAAATGACGTAAGACGTTGCTATGACTACATCAGAACCCTTCTTATGCCATCAAAAATGTTCATTTAAAAAATCATAATTCAGGAACCAAATGGTGAATTTTTTAAGAACCAGAATATTTAAACTTTGTATCATGATCTTTTTTTTTTTTTCACGAAAAAAGAAAAAAAATTCTGTAAGTGGGAATTCGTTAAAAAAATTGTTCAAATTTGTTTGGAATAGTTTCCTCGTCCTCTTACAGAATTTTTTAAATTTTTCCTTAAGTTTTCGAAAATATAAACCAAAGCCATATGCAAAATTTGAAGAAATTTCACCGTACAGTTTTTGATTATTTTTTTAAGTTTGAATATTAAAATTTTTGAGGAAAAAATTTCCTTTTGCAAGTTCTACGTGATTGGATCTAGATCGCGCGCGCGCTCAAGAAAAACCGTTTCGAGCCTTCTTAATATAATTTCGGTCAATCTGAAAGTCAATCTTTTATTCTTTTCTGTATAAGTGAAATATTGCATAGCTAAAGAGAAAATTTAATGAGATACTTGAATCTATTAAGATTGAGGTCATTAGAATAATGAACAAACAAACAAACAAACATCTTTATTTGGCACTCCTTGGATTGATATATAATAAAATTTATAAAATAATAATGTATAAATAGATGAGCACCAGCCATTTAGAAATAGCAGAGCTAGTCGAGCATAATGGCTAGGTCAAACGGAAAATTATAGAAGGAAATGTATAGAGAAATATATATATAATTGCAACAACAGAATATATGGATTTGACAAGACAGGCTGCCAGGGGGAAAGACATACACACACACACACACGAAAAGGATGGAGTGACAAAAACACACACACAAGGGAGAGAACTATTTTAAAAAAATTATAAAAGAGAGAAAGTTGATTCAATCCAATATGTGAAAAACGATAACTGATTATTATATTTTGTCCAAAAGTGACTTACGTGGAAGCTTCTTGAAACGGGACCGGGACTTTGATTTATGAACATCCTGGATGGAATTCCAAATTTTAACGTCTAAAAAGCGAATGTTAAATTTGCCATAATTAGTTCTTATCTTTGGCAAATAGTATGATTTTTTGCTGGCAAGTCTAGTGTTATAACCATGCAATCTGTTGATAGATACAAAAAAATCATTCAAAGCTGATGGCAAGCTACCTGAATGAAAACCATAGATAAACAATGCTTTGTTTAAAAAGATTAAGTTAGGAAATTCTCAATTTATAGAATAAAGGACCAGAGTGAGCTGTAAAATCAGAAAAGGTCATAAGCCTATTTGCTTTTTTTTTTTGAATAACTAGAAGTGGTCACAAAGTAGTTGTGTAGGTGTTCCCCCAAGTTACAAGTGAGTAAGATAGGAAAGGGTATACTAATGTATAATACAACATTGTAAGAATTGATATATTTACATAATGCCTAATTTGTGAGAGAATACCTACACATCGTTTAATTCTTTTAGAAATATGAAGAATTTCATATTTCCAATTTAAATGGGAGTCAATATAAATACCTAAATATTCAATCTACATTTCCTTCTTATCATTTTATTGTTAATATATAATCTAATTGCATAACTAGTAGCTTTTTGAGGTGGGTGAAAAGTAATAAAATTGGTTTTGTTTATATTAAGTGAAAGCTTGCTAGCAATAAGCCAGTTTGACACGTGACTAAGGTTTTCACTGATACAAGATTTTAGGGCAAATAGGCTGCTGTCAGAGTAAAACAAATTGGTATCGTCAGCAAAGATATGGAAATCTAATATATTACTACATCTATAAAAATCATTAATGTAAATAAGAAACACGCCAACTCCAAATTCTTGTGCTACGTGAGAGCCAACTGTTGCGTGTTCCATGCACTAAACATGCAATGCTCAATATTTTCATGGGATCTGAATCTCAAATCGTGCGAAAACGTTTAGGTTTACGTCTAGTCAGCTGAGTTTTATAATGGTATTAAATCGAAAATGAACAATGCTTGTAAATATTGCGAGGCAGTAGTTTTAATGAATTAACCATGATCTGATTCTACATTCGAACTGACCGAAACAACTGAACAAAACCCGCGTATAAGAACCTGGGTTTTAAGAACCTGTTAGGCTAAAATTCTCACTTTAAGCCCCCTCCACGTAAGAACCTATTAAGGCTACAATTTTAAGAAAGGTTCTTATTAGTGGAGTTGCTGTAAAAGTGTATAGGTAGAAACTGCTATATGTTTGTTTGAGCGTGTGTTTTGTATAGGACATACTGCTCTGTACTAGGCTACGGCCTGAGTGTGCTTGGAATCACAACGCCTTCTGAGTATTTTTCAAGATGGCCGATCTCTTGTTTCCAGGCCCTCACAGTATTCAAACGAGCGTTAAAATCCCCGCTCCATTCCCCGCTGAGAAAACCATTTGTTAAATCCCCGACCCCCAGGTGCAATCGCATTGGAAAAAATTGCCCATACATTTGGAATATTTGCTCTTTTTGGTCTTTTTCCTCTCTTTCCAAAGCAAAAGGTTGTTGTAAAGTTATATAGCACAAGTAAACGGCGTGACAAAACATCCTAAATGACCCGTAAATCGTCTGTTCTTTCGCTAACTACCGTAGTTAGCGTGGTTTCGAGGCTACAAAACCTAAGAAAGGCCATAAGAGGCGAATGTATAGGCCAACAGACAGTATGAGCTTATAAAATCAGCAAAAATACGGTTCTAAATGTTAACAAACTCGTATGAATCATACACCAAAATGTTCAGGAAAGCCCAAGGTTTTCAAATCCACTTCTGTTTTTTCGACAGGTTCTGTTTTATTTCAAGGAGAGACCATTTTCTAGCTTGACCCCGGCTATGTCRTGCATTTTCTCTTGTAARATACATCCAATAGCGTACATTCAACTCAAAAAGGACGGTGGTTTTTTCTTTCAATAGAATTCAATCTAAGCCATATAATACAGTCCGTGTGAATAGTCGAATTAACTGAATCCACTTCTGTTTTTTGCTACGCAGGCTAGTATCAACATCTCTCGCTTCAACTTTCGTGTCATGCGACTGTAACAGCTGTAAAATGGCCCAACGAATGTTTTCTTTCCGTCTTAATTCCCAAATAACAAGCATCGAGTCCTCCTTTTGCAATTCTCAACCTGACTTGCTGGTTTTAAACTGATGAAGCTTGACTTTTTTAGAATGTTGAATCCATTTTCAAGATAAAAATCCGCCATCTTGAATTTTCTGAGAACTTCCAGAGAAGGAAGGCTGTTCTGTTGCTATGGCAACTGCAATAATCTGATTGGCTAATTCAATTACTGTTGTTTTTTTAGCCAATCAGAATCCTGAAAATTTGTAAACTGCACTGGTATTACAGAGTTTTTGCACTGGTATAACATATACACGATGGCCAGTCAATCATCGCGCGCGTTTTATCTTATCTTTTATCTATATTTCATAAATATGCATAAGCAACATAAAAACAAATTTTCATTTGCTTAACCTTGTCCAAAAATAATGAGTACAACACGGCTGCTGATTGAGATAAAGATGCCGTGTTAGCCTCAAAAAGTACGGGTCGATATTTGCTTGTTGTTCATTATTTACGAATTAGTTGACTAATAGTACTAAGTCATAAATTATTAGTTTAACAGCATGTTATCAAAATCTAGGTGAGAACTGTGCTGTTTAGTAGTGTTATTTATTAGTTTATTAATATGTAATTCACCTTAATCATTGTCAAATTCGCTAGGCCAATATTAAAGGCTAGTTTTCACTTGCGACGAAATCAGAGTCCTAATCGTAAGACACACCATTTTCATATTGTATGAATAATACCATTGTTTTTTTTAATTCTAAACAAGTTTCAGATAAGACCTGTCAAAACAGTTTGATATATGATTTTTTTGCGGCTCACGGAAAGAAAAATGGTTTATTATGAATATATATTATCTCGTAAATGGACCCCCAAGCTAAGAGAATCATTTGAAAAAATAAACTAAAATAACTTTGAATGAAAAATAAATTACTTTTTTTCAATAATTGCTAGGTGAGATTACCTTAAGACCGTTATGTGTGAGATCATTCGAAGAAGTCTGAGACAAAACAGACTTAAAAGGGAATAACCCAGTATGTTTATCGAGTAGTGAAATTAGTTTAACAGGAATGTAATCTTATCTGGAGCCATTTGTCTTTCTTACTTGGAGATGTATGTTAAAATATCATATTTGAAAATAATCCCAATCTCCGGCATTTGGTTCAAATTTCCTTTGTCTATGCCAAATGATGTTAATAACACCCATACATTTTCAGTTTAATTACTAGGCTTTACAGGAATCCGTTGGATACCCGTTAAGCCTCTCGGCTTGACGTTTCACATGGAACCTGCAAACTTCTTTCTAGAACATTTTGAAGCACTTTGAAGCGGGACGAAACTGTAATTATATTGACATAAAATCAAACAATTTCGTTAGTTTAATTGACTAAATTTTCGTCGATGTTGGGCTCCAGTAGTATTCGTTGATTTTAAAAACGGAAACAAAGCGCTTAGAAATAGCACTACTACTCATAGTTCCAAAAAATGTTTATGGTTGATTCGAAGTTGGTGATCGATCAGCCCCTGTATACATTCAAAGAATAAGCCGGTTGCCGTTAGATAATGACGCCTGCGTGGTTGTCATGTAGAAAAGCAATTTACTGCTAATTGTATGACATAATACATTAGCGTTGAGATTCTTTAAAATTGAATGTCAAGTTTCCATGTGAATTATATTGGAGCTGTATTGGAATAGTATACTTCCCTGGCGTATCATTAGAACATGAACTGGATGAATTGGATTTTATAAAATTGATACTTCAACCTAAATAAGTCAAAAAGGGTACATCTTTCATCATTTTATACTAGACAATAACTGAGAAATTAGTTTTATAATTCAAGTGTCTCGACCTCTCTTTCAAAAATGCTGTTTCTTCTCAAGGTGCTTAGTTTACTAATGTTGTTGTTGGACGGACCTAAAGTCCAAAGTGAACCAAGAGATTGCCCTGTTCGGTTGTCCTGGGGTGGATTCATCAACAAGCCAGACATCATACTAAAAGGACACAGTAAAAAGATTCTCTCTTCAGCAACATTCGTTCAATGCTCTCTCCGTTGTATTCAGACAACATGGTGTATATCTGTTAATTTTGAGGTTGGAAGGACAATTGGAATTTGCCAGCTTAACGACTATGGCGTAAAAAGCGTGTCTGCGATCTCAGTGCAGCAAGGAGGAGAGTTTGAGATCAGGAAAGGATATATGTATACCCAACTAAGGCCGTCACAGGTAAGTAGGACCAAATTGAAATTATTCTAATCTACGATTTATTTTGCTTTGCTGCCATATAGTAAGCTTATTTTTTATCATCTAATTGTGTTTCTCTATTCCTGTACAAGTTTTTTGAAAATATTTCACCTGAGCTATTGGACCTGTCCTCAGTGCCGGAAAAGGACTCCTATCAAATTTTGGCATGATTATTTGATTATTATTAAAAAATGTATCATATTTTAGACGATTCAATTTTCAGTCAGAAAAAATTGTGAACATAAATCATTGCTTCTAACCAAAAGTATAAATCAAGTATTTATCAATATAGCTTTCAATACGGCTCATTAGACACAAATCCATGGGAAGTGATAGGAGAAGCTAGCCCATTCAGTTTCCAGCACGAAATATAATACTCTTACTAAAACGAACAACATTTTTCAGTAGCACCTCGTATCCCACTGAACAAGCACCTAACGCTAAGCTCATCTTCTAGTGATGAGTTAAAACTCTGATAGTCGCTTTGATTAAGCCATTCCTTCACCTCTACGCGCGTTCTCACAGAAAGCAAAATTCATGTCAAAAAATACAAGACAATACATATTTTTGGCATTCTAGTAAAAGCCATCAACTTCAACCTCACTTCAACTAGTTCCTAGAGGCTGGATTCTCTTTTTGAAAAGGATTTGCCCAGATAGAACACCGATTACATTATTATGTATTTATTATCGGATACTATATTAATGATTATTATTACTTTTAAAATCTTGYAATATCTCTTATCATTTGAAAATAATTCCTAATTGTGTATTTGTTTATTAGTTTGGCTGCCATAACAAGCCCTGCAGTAACGGTGGTACATGTTATATCGATTGTGATGCATTGTATGAAACACGATGTCTTTGTCCAAAAGGATTTTTTGGACCACAGTGCAGAGGTTAGTTCTTACCATCAAACATAGTAAGGAAATAGACATCGGTGTAGCGAGAACTATAAAGGGGCAATCTATCATTTTCTCTCCAAATCCACAGGAATCCGGCATAATTAATAAGATTTTGCTGTCGAAAGCGAACTAATTTTATGCCCCCGTTCCCCTCCTCCCTACGGCTAGGGGAATGGGGGGAGGGTGAGGGGGAATTTGTGTTCATTTATTCTAATCACTCGAATTTTTGAGAGAAACTTAAGCTTTTTACATTTTTTCAAGTTGACAACACTCATAAAGTCTTTTTCCAGCTCATATTAATATGATTTTACTATGCTGTTTTCTGTTTCGTTGCCGACTCTTTTCAGAAATAAATGAATGCGTAAGCAATCCATGCACAAATGGTGGAACATGCCATGACAAAGAAAAAGGGTACTCCTGTTCCTGTAACGACGGCTTTAAGGGAATAAACTGTGAAATTGGTAAGCACATACTATACTTTTATAATGTATTAATCTATTAAGTGCTTATGTCAAGGCAGGCGGTGTTCGCACTCCAGTGGCAAGGCGTCATGATATACTTATGAAGTTCGTGTTCTTTGTATATTGCGGCATCCGAGTCAGGATCACTAGCGCGGTTGTTTTAATTTGAACTTCTGATCCGCGCAGGTTGAGTTTCCACTGCCTCCTGTAATTTAATATACCAGATGCTAGTTGCTAGATACCCAAAGCTCTATTTGTGTCTCTAACTGAGACGGAACACGACAATGCTGAGATATTGTAACTCGTAGGCATCGTTTTATTCACTGTACAAACATATAAATGCGAATTTTATTTTTTCATGCTAGTTCATTTTTCAATTTAAATGTGCAGTCTTTATTAGAATGCATTTTTTTTATCAACAGTATTTACATCTTCCAAATTTAATGTCATGTTGAATAATAAATCAGGTGTCCATGGAATAGTTTTCTTATTACTGTTTTCTCAAAAGTGACTCCTACGAGATGAAGCCTAGTGGAATTCAGTGTTTTGGTTGAGGCTTTTGAGAGTTGTCCTCCGTCGAAACATTACGAAAAGGATAAGCTTGAAAATGATTTCAAATTTACCGTACTCAGAAAGTTCGAACACCAACTGATGAAAAAGTTGTAGAATAATTTCGTTGGTATTAGATGGAGATCAAGCTTATTAAATTGCAAGTAAGGGAACTCGAGAAAACATCCCTTATGGGAATTAAACCCATGGCTTTCACAGTTTTCTTGCCAGATAGATCTACTCATAAGTTTATTAATGGACCAAATTTAGTTTGGCGTAATTTTAAAATATTTTCTCAATTCAGACCATGTGCCATTCCATAGAGTATCATTTCTTTGTCAAACGGTTGTGCACGAGAAAACGAATGAATACAACTAAAACAAAAAAATCTTATTCTCAAATAAAAAATGAAAAATCAACTAAAATAAAACAATGTAGTATCATAGTATGTCATCTCACTATGGGTAAACTAAGAAGGCTGAAAGGTAAAACACACGATGTAACTTTTGTACACCAAACGTTTCATTTTGTTAAGGTGGCTGACTACTTTGGTAAATAATAAACAGAATATTGAAAATTGAAACTTTTTGTAACCTAAGGTTTAATGCTGATTTCAAAAATGCAAAGATAAATGAAGTGTCCCTAGCTTGTTTATGAGATAATCACTCCTGAATGTCATGCGTTTCTACAATTTTGGAAGAAAAATGGCGAAAATCGAGCTCTGTGCGAAAAAAATGATAAAACCGAAACTAAGGAAGAAACATGAGTAATTTTTTCTCCGAACACGTAACGTACACTATATTTATAAAATACTGATAGAAGTTGTTTTAATAAACTATAGTAAACAATGGAAAAACTTTTTTGTTCATGTTCTACGGTGTGCAAGTTATCGTAAAAATTGAGCACAACACAAACAGAACGATTTTTTAGATTGTTCTGATAAACAGAATTGTCTTAGACTTTGAAAAATAATGGGATATTACTTGTTATTCCGGAAAACAACRTAAAAATATATAGATTTCCGTGCAAAATTTTGAGGCTCTTGCCCTCTTGAAGTTTAAAAGATGTATGGTTCTTCAATATAATCGTGAAGATTATTCAGCGGTTTTTGAGTGCGCGCACATCGTGGGCTCAAATGGAATGTTGAAAAGTAGTCAGCCACCTTAACAAAAAATGCATGCAACTCAGAGCAATGTAAAGTATGTCTTAGTGATGTGCACTCACGATGTAACTTTTGTACACCAAACGTTTCGCCTTGTTTAAAAAAAATGCATGCAACTAGCAATGTGAATTATGCCTGAGTGAATGCGCCGCTAACGTTGTTTAGCTTGATCTCCGGCATTCGATCATGAAATTAGGGTCACAGGGATTGTTGGCAACTGACTATCAAATAGTCTAGTAAAACAAGGACCGACKGAATGATTCCCTCGGCTACCCCCTTGGATCCACACTACTTTGACAATGTGATGACGCGATTTATCGTCAATASAGAGTTTTAGATTTACGTTCACGGCAAACGTGAAACGTCAGTTGACCATTTAAAAATTATTTTAAATAGCTTAAAAAGAATCGCAAAAAAGTCAAASTAGTAGAAAAACAAAAGAATATTTTTCTTTGGTGAGAAGGTTTGTAAAAAAAGTAAAATACAAGAAAACTATGAAAATGTGGTCACGTTTGCCGTTTGCGGGGAGAAAAAAGTCAATTTAAAACTCTCTATTAAGAGGACACTGACACAAAAATCTGATGTAAATTTGATTTTTTACAATAACAACTTCTCARTTTTAGTGATCAAAACAACCAACGGAAAGAGCGCGCGGTCGTTGACGTCAACTTATTTGTCTTTCCTCTTATTGATGATAAAAAATAACCAATCAGCGCTCGAGAAATTTGTAAGTTATTGTAAAACCTTGTTTTGCATAAAATGTTTTAAAGTTGTATGCATTAATGACTGTGCAAGTAATTCATGTTTAACAGAAATTAATGAGTGCGAAAGTAGCCCGTGCAAGAATGGAGGAAAATGCCTGGATGAACACAATGGCTACACGTGTGTTTGTGCAGCAGGCTACACTGGGATACATTGYGACAAGGGTAAGGATTCATTGAAGAGAAAGCCTGGTTGTTTTGGCTTAAGAGTGATCATATTATTTGGTATCACTCTTGCCTTAAGAGCGGTATAACCATTAGTTAAACGTTATCTACAAAATAAGGCATCAATGATATGCCTTTCGAGTAACCACAGGGAGCCCAATTTAGATAAAGGTGAATGGTGCAAACAAATTGTCGCTTCGTGACTGATATTGTTTTAAATTATCGATAGTTATCTTTCATTTTTCAAGTAAAACCAACCAAAAAAGAAAAAAAAATGTCGAATATGGAGAATTTTGTGAAAGGATTTTTCAAGAACAAACCTAGCCCTGTGGGGTGGCTGGTGGGTCGTGTACACATTAAAAAATTCCTATGCGGGAGATTAGTAAGGTTGAAATTCATTCTGCCCGATTCCTACACTGGTAAGAACCTTGACATAAAATTTCAGAAAATTTCCAGCGACAGAAAAATTTTCTGCACGAAAATTTCGGACATAGAAGACTGTGATGAAGAATAAAAACAACAACAAAATGAATCCCCCATCGTACGGACCATTTTGATCAAGTTTTTTGTAGTGTTTGAGGTTTATATTGCAACTACTCAAACCAAGGCCACCTCGACAAATTTTCTACAAATTATCCAACAGTTGATATTATCAGGGGCTGGCACTGATAGACTTATCGCCGTCTTGCTATGCGGCAGTCTTCTAAGCCCTGTAAACTCTTGGATATAGTTTGTCTGATTTGTAGAACTTCTGTTGTTAAAATTACCATTTTTGATTGGCTTATTCGCAGAACATTTGTTCGGGTGGACTTGGTTGGAGTAGTTTCACTGAGATCGTGGTTAAATGTGTGTCGTTTTCTCAAAGATGGCGACTGTACTTTCCTCCCTTGTAAGAGTATATATACATATCAACGACATTAGATACCATAGTCGAATAATGTAGGAAGACAAAGGCACGCGCGGAAAAAATAACAAATAGACATCAGTTTTTTATGTGTCTGTCCTCTTATTGACGAAAAATTGCGTTATCACATTGTCTTAGGCGTTGCCGAGTGGATCCGCATACTACTTTGACAATTTGATGACGCAATTTATCGCCAATAAGAGGACAGACACATAAAAAATGGATGTCTATTTGTATTTTACATAACAAAAACGATTAAAAAACTTCTCATTTTAAACTTCTCAAATAACCAATCTGGGCGCGAAAAAAATTTGTAAGTTATCGTAAAAAATTTTCTAGTGCCTCTCTTGTCGATTTTTTTTCTCTTTCGGTATATTAAAATTACAGTCATTGTGTTAGTGGTAAAACTGATCGAGTGAATGTTTTTATTTTTAGAAAACTCTACTTAAAACTTATATTATACAGCGTACAGTCAAACGTGTTTTCCAAGATTATCATRTTCCATAATTAATTTTGAAAATAATAAATTGTTTTTCTCTTTAATTGTTACAAGACATCGACGAGTGTGTAAGCAAACCCTGTCAGAATGGAGCGATATGCAACAACAAAGAAAATGGTTATTCTTGTGAATGTGCAGCTGGATTCACAGGAATAAACTGCGAAACAAGTAAGTACAAGGAAACTTATTGATGAATATATAAGTATGTATTTGATCTCACAGGGACGTCTTTGTACCCTAGCGACAAATGAAAGTAGATTTCCGAAATAGCCCGACCTCATTATTGAACTCTTACAATTACAACTGGGATAGGGTATCGGTGAAAACACCATAGCTTACTATTAGTAGTATAGGGGATGGGGGTTCCAGCGCAATCTCAACACAGGGTTTACCTGTGTCAAATATTTCACCATGGGAACGACCCGTCCCAAGTGTGGTTGGGGGCAACAGCGCAACCACTTAAATATGTTAGTCTATATATGGAGTGCGAAGATTGTAAGAGAACTTTTAAGAAAGAAGCGGACTTAAGGAAGCATTTGAAGATGAAGACGAAATGTATTATAAGAGCATATTTTTGCCCATTGTTTCGGCAACCATTTTCGGCTACCTTTTCTACTCCCACACGGGCTTTCCTGGTAGACACATTTTGCGTAGGAAAAGTATTTTTTTGTGTCCACTGCGCTGGTAGCAAGCACCAGGAATGTCCGTGGTGCGATTTGCCTCTCCTTTTTTGTATGGGCCCAAAAACGAGTCCCTCGTAGCAAGGGCGCGGCAGGACACCGCTCCCTAGCAAGGGATGCGAGTAGCCAAAAAACCTTCGACACCCCGTATATACGATGGAAGAGCAAAAGAGTATTTCGGCAACCTTGCAAGAGATGGGCATACGTGCGAAGAATAGGGTGCTAGCACATTTGCTGTTGGACAACGCATACGACGGTAATCTACTACCCGACATATCCAAGTGCGACTATTTGCGCGGAAACGAAGGTACTACCAGCCTGCAGCCGCTATCCGGATTGCCACCGTTCGTAGACGATGTGTTTGTCTATGGATTTGTCGCAGAGAACGACATGTATGGACGCATATGCAGAAACGCAAAAACGCTGGTCTCCAAAATATCCACTGCGACCCAGGAGGCATTTGGTACGTTCCTGCATGTCCAAATAGTACACAGCTGCAGGCAAGGAAAAATAGTAGATCGCGTCTCCCACATGGCAGCCAAGTGGTCCAGCTTGCACGGAGAACCTGCAGCAGTTTTCGTAGCCAAAGTAGACACCTCGGAATTGTCCATAGAAACCGTAGAGGAAAAGATACCCAAGTTTGCTACTTTGCTAGATGCGCACGTATATGGTATCTATTCCGTGGACTACACGCAGGATTTCTCTGGTACTTTGGATAGAAAAGCTTTGGTGCGCAGATTGCGACAGCTGGGCTACGAACACCAGGGAGAACTGGGGGGACGCAAGGGTACTATTTTGGACAATACACACCAAGTAGGCAGCCATGTTTGTACTTGGATGGAAGACGGCAAAAGGACGAAGATATACAACAAGATAGTATCCAACTTCGAGGCTGGAGAAGTGCAGAATCCAGTAGGAGCAAAGTTGGCAGAGAACGTGGATTGTCCCAACGACCACCTGCGTAGAACATTCCTGCATCCAGACGTGCAGAAAAGAGGATGCAGCAGAGTGGAAATATCCATCTATGGTAGGGATTTCTCCAAAGAAAACACAAATGCTATTGCGGAKACTATAGAGCCTCTAGCAGACATATTCGTAGTACAACCGCCAAAAAAACATGTGGTTGGCGTTCGCGGAACACTTGGATAGATGTTTGTGTATTTGCTGCGAGGAGACAAAAGAAATATTTCTAGCTTGGTACTGCCACGCAACAACGGGGCGCATAGCTGGCATACGCGTACGGGGCAACGAAAAATGGGAACAATGCGTACTTTGGACCATTGCAGAGTTCGGACTGCGCAAATGCCCTATATTCCGCATAGACGTGCGTGGATTGGACCCGGTGGAAATACTACCGCTGCGATGCTACACAAAGGATTCTCCCACGGTATTGGCGGAGTCTAACAAACCCACCAGAGTGCACAAAGATCCGCCTACTATCGCAAACTTTCTCCCAACCACGGAACACGTGGAGTGGGTTTGGCGCACGAAGAAGGCACAAAAGATAGGCGTGGAAAAGAGTCTCTTCGGAATACTAAAAGTGCCTACGGACCGCAGGATTTCCTTCCTGTCCAAAAGAAAACGACAGCAAAGATTGGAAGACATACGGGACGATTTGGAAGGAGACGAGTGGGTCGAAGCCACTAGGAGATAYCACGCAGAACTGTCGGAACAAAGGCAGTCCATTCTGCGGCAAAAAGAAGAGGACAGAAAAAGAATAGAAAAAGAATTGGAGAAATACAGGAAAACATTGGATAGGATTTCCAGAAGGACAGACAATCTGCGCAAGTTGTTCTTTGGCCTGGACGTTTCCGAGTACTTCCTAKAGGATTCCATGCCTCGTAGAACCAAAGTACACCGAATGCAAGAAATACCCGCAGGGGAGTACAAAATACTAGGATATGCGATCCCCAGAGACTTGGATGCCGTTTGGCCTGCGAGAGGACACCGCGTAGCATTGCGAAAAGGCAAAGAGACCTGCGTTGCGTGGGCTATAGAAGCAATGCTCGATGTATTTGCGGCTGGGAAGTTCGAAGCAGACGGCAACATGCGCGTAGCTATTCCCGGGGAAGAAATATTGGTGGAGTGGAAAAACAATGTAGCAACTGTCTTCGTGCCGGAAGGACCCGGTTTGGATACGTACTACGAATTGGCTAGGAAAGTAGAATATCCCAGAAATCCAGAAAGACTATTGGAAGTGTCGGCGCCACCAAACAAAGAATGTGTACAGGCGCTACATATGCAGGAGGGCGAGTACCAATGCTGGAGATACGCCAAAACCACGTACAGAAAAAAAGAAAGGACAATCCTATTCCTTTCCGAAAAATGCTSGGAATGCGTTTTGGAGGGCTGCACGGTAGAACATGCTACTACTCCGGTCTGGGGACACTTTCTGGACGAGCAAAAGATAGACTGGACATCGCAGCCGCCGCTGTACTGCAAGATTGGTAGAGAAAAGACTACCAAAGCAAAGAAGAAAGACCGACTGGTTCACGTCTCTACTCCATCTCCGGAATCCTAGAATTTCTCTGCGGTTTCGTATCCTCCGCTGGATGTCTGTAGTAGACAACTTTGGGTGGTTGCATGCGCGCCCAAACGACAGCAGCAATGCCCAAGGCGGCAAATAGTACATTGCCGGCTATTTGCCAGTCTATTTTCGTGGATACTTCCTCTACTTCGTCGGACAGATCCTCTGCGTCTATTTTCTCGAACGAATCTTCCTCGTCTATTTGCTCCATCCTGGCTAGCAATTCCTCCTTTGCGTCTCGGAGTTCTTCTCTAGCTTTTTGGAGATCGTCGAGGACTATAGCAAAGGAATCCTGCACTTCTAGGAAATGTTTCTGCAAATCCGTAGTAGGTGGTTTCTCGGGAATCGCTACCTCCAGACCATTCTCTCGCTCTATCCTGCGTATCTTTGGTATGCCTATGCCGTACTTTTTGGCTACCTTCTGCAGCCCTACGCCATTTTTCCTATCTTCCAACAATCCTGCGATTTCTTCCTCGGRTAGTATCTTGGGTGTTGCCATAAATATCTACGAATACGGTTCGAACATAGCTAGGTACCTATGGATCCATAGGGGTATTCCGTGGGTCCATAGGTATATAGATGTATCTCTACATAGCTGCGGGTATGGTCGCATACATGCTAGGAAAACAAAGAACGACGCAAATACTTCTGGAGATCTTGGAAGGACTCTACAGACTTCGCATACCGGGCTACGTAGCTACTTTGACGCAACTACCACGGCGTAGATAGAGGGTGTCGAAGGTTTTTGGCTACTAGTAGAAGGGAGGTGAATCGCCTCCCTTGCTACGGCGGCGTTTCTCCATAGTAGGGTGTCGCGATCCACGACCCCTTGCTGCCAAGAGCGGTGGTTCGCAGCCCTTGCGAAAAAAGGAGAGGTGTTTCGCCTCTACCTACTTCCCTACGGACATTCCTGGTGCTTGCTACCAGCGCAGCGGACACAAAAAAATACTTTTCCTACGCAAAATGTGTCTACCAGGAAAGCCCGTGTGGGAGTAGAAAAGGTAGCCGAAAATGGTTGCCGAAACAATGGGCAAAAATATGCTCTTATAATACATTTCGTCTTCATCTTCAAATGCTTCCTTAAGTCCGCTTCTTTCTTAAAAGTTCTCTTACAATCTTCGCACTCCATATATAGACTAACATATTTAAGTGGTTGCGCTGTTGCCCCCAACCACACTTGGGACGGGTCGTTCCCATGGTGAAATATTTGACACAGGTAAACCCTGTGTTGAGATTGCGCTGGAACCCCCATCCCCTATACTACTCTATTGCTGTTAGCTTACTTATTAGGGGAATATCTAGGTAAACTTTTCTAGGCCTTAACAACCATCCAACCAACAAACCAACCAACAAGCCAACACTGACTTTAAAGCGTATATATAAACCTTAGGCCTTTTACAGAATATAATCAAGAATTCGGACTCCCCTTAAAAAACAAAAAACTTTTGCTGCATGCATACAGTCACTAACGTCATATGTAACAATTTCTGAAGAATAATATTGTTTTTCCTCTATATGCCATCCAGCAGAGCTTTCTTCAAGTGACCTTTGGTTGCATTAATTCGTTATCAAACTGACGAAAACGTGACAATATTAGGTGAAGACGGCTTGTTAACTAACTAATAATTAGGATTCAAAGAATTTTTCCGTCATTTTGATTGTCCAAAACAACTGCAAATAACAACCTTCAAATAATATTCTGGTCATTCGCATTATGTTGCATAGCTGTTTTGCTGCAAATGATACTCTTCTCCTGCCCTATAABGGTGCATTTTTTCAACATGGCTGAGTTCGTATGTTTGAAAGACATTACGAACAGCCAAACCGCAAAAAGAAAACGGAAAAATTGAGATAAGACAATTATAGAACTCGGTTATAATCACAAAATATCGTGATTTGTTAGTATCTCGCAAGCAATTATTTGCCTCTGTATTCGGAATCACCAAATAATTGTCTGCTCGCCATTAACAAACTACGATATTTAACTTAATTTCTTCCAATAATTGCTTAATGTACTTTGGAAAATGTTTATAGACATCGACGAGTGTGCAAGCAGTCCCTGCCAAAACAGTGGAAAATGTACTGATAAGACTAATGGCTACTACTGCGACTGCGCTGCAGGATTTAATGGTACAAACTGTGAAAATAGTAAGTAGTTTAACATTATTTTTTGCTATCAAGSCATTCTTCATAATATTACATTATAATGCTTTCAAAGTAATCGATTTGATCTCGGGGAT